TAATGATAAAGTAAATCTTCAGCTAACTTCTACTTTCATCACTGCCTTCACATCCCTGGAAATTATCAGAACATTCAACAAGCATTTAACAAATTTCCATGGCAATCACAGTAAGGAGAATCAATATTTTAAGCCTGAAACTAGAATGTTAAACTTGCTTACTTACACACTCAGTCTAACGAAAACAAAACCTAACTTACTAACGAAAGAAACATAACAACATAAGAAGGAAGAGGATGCTTGCGGTGTGAACATCCTGACATCATGACATAATAGCAACCTAACAGCATGAACAAAATGGCATAAGGAAAAAAAAAACTGATCTTTTCCATATGTCTTTATGTTGATGTTCACACTACTGTCCTAAGCGATTATTTCATCATGTCATTATGTCTTTATATCATTTAGTTGCTAGTGTGAACCAGGCAAGAGGGGGTGGCTAATGGTAACTAAAAAAATCTTGGGTCTCGGGAAACTTTCGATCCAATCTGGGAAGGCTTTATGAGGAGTTGTGGTGTCTTGTTTTTCTGTTTCATTTGTCTTGGAGTCTAAAATTGTTTAGGTCTCATTCAATCAATCAATCTTTATTTGCACTCACTCTTGGCACAGCTCAAAATAAGAAATTACAACAATGAAAATGTTAAAAGTAAAAATTAGAGTACCAGCTGCCTGGAATGACCATAGGGGCTAGCAGAGCCAGGCAGCCAGTTAACATCAGCATTAAATAGAAATAAAATACAAGTCAGCAAGAAAACTGAAGCACAAATGCAGACAAAAACAAAAAAAGAGAAAAAACGCAATTTCTACGATATGAAGGAAGTCTAAAACAGTTAAATTTATTTTTACTAATATTTTCAAACTAATATTTTACTAATATGTTCAAACGAGGGTCTCGGGGAGCCTTTCTTCACCTCTAAATGGCTCATAACTTTAAAGGGAGCTTTAAAGAAAGACACCTATTCATTCATGACTACTACTTTCTACAGTTACCAGAGAGATTATTTCTGATCAACTGATCCTAGCTGACAATGAGCTAAAAATGGTTTATAATAACGAACCATAACTAATAATAATACTTTTGACTTTATTCTCAAAGTCAGCTTGGTCTTTAAACCATTCACAGTCCATAAGAAGGCTAGCATACATGTCTCATAATTCAGTAGTTAAGGGGCGTGTTGGCTTGGAGTCTAACTCTGCCGTCATCTTCTGCACGCGTACTGCATTACAGTCTTGACACAGAAGGTGATTGTCCAAGGGATAGCAACCACTGCCACCCTTTTCTGTTGATAATGGAGCATTACAGTCCTTAAAAAGAGCAAATAACATGCTTAGTCTGTATCAAAATAATATCTCATTCGAGAAATGTAGAAAACACTCGCCTGCATCTTGTGTTTTCTACATTTCCCTCATGTTCTCAAATGCCCGTCGTGTTTTATCGCAGTTTAGAAAACAGTCCCAAGAAAATACGCGAGCTGATTGGTTAAAAATCATGTTTCTATAACTCGATAGAAACACAGAACTAGCACAAACTGTTGATGCAATGATGGTGCGAGAAAAGAGAATTTACATTTTGATATTCAAAGTTAACAAGTTGTTTTCCTTTTGTTAGTCGTGCTGTTTTCTAAAAGAAATAGAAAACATGCTCTCCTTGTTTCTACTGAGTTATAGAAACACTCGTGAAAGTTTTGGAGAACTCGAAAGAGCTGTGGAAACACATGCCTGCGGCACATGTTCCAAGAGCATTTCTCATTCTACTAAACTTCCACCTGTGTTTCTATAACTCGATAGAAACACGGTACATGTTTTCTATTTCTTAAGTATTACACAGCTTAGCCTTCTTTATTTGTTAAGTAGATCACTGCACATACCTCACAAACATAGCACTTGACATGAAAATCCTTGTTCATTGAAACAATACGAACTGTTTCCTCTTGACCCTGAAATATTATGAACAACATTTCACTCAATTAACTTTAATTTTAATAGTGAACATGGAGTAAAAAATCACACTTTTCAATAATTGATGTTCACTTGTACGGGGCTCTCTTCAGTTCAAAACAAAGTCCGAAAAAGCTGCAGATGTGGGCTGCGCTGTCAACAGATTACATCAAGTTTATGTTTGCAGCTGCTACTTTTTGGAGGGACATTATTCTCAGGGGATGGGGGGGGGGCATTATTTTCAGAATTTACAACTTAAAATAAATACAGTTATCAAGGTTTCCTAGCTTGTGTACTAATTATATCAGGGTTTACTAAAAAAAAAAAAATTATTGGCCAAGGATTAAAATTAACTTGGTTGGCAATATTCATGCATCAGCTAGTAACTGTCAGCTGTCTCATGTTGATAAATATGTTGACCTGAAAAACAGTTTTTACCTCGTCAGGAACTATCAGCTGATTGCACAATGCACATCTTGGTGAATATTTCCTGGAATAAAAGAATAGTTTAGAAGAAAGAATGGATATGTGTCAAACGCAATAATTTAGTAAGCCTTGAGTGACAGAAACTTGAGTTGCTTAAAGACAGAACAGCATGTAAGATAAGCTTGATAAACTAATCGGGCTATATATTACACACTGGCCAAACAGTTTATAAATACCTATAATAGTCCTCAATGCAGTGGATTTTGTTAAAGTTGTCAACAGTGAACTGAACGCCATCAAGTTTCTTGTTACAAACTTCACACTTGAAACAGTCTGGATGAAAACATTTTCCAGTGGCTCGTAAGATCTGTTTTAAGGAACAATTTTGGACAAATTTCACTCAGCATTAACATCAATGCAGGTGCTAGTGGAAGGAGTAGGTTGGCAACACATAACTGATTAACCCTCTCACTCTCCAGAGGGCCATGTGGTACAAAATACCATACATGCTAAATATTTGGTCAATTTTTATCAAATTTGAACAGCAAAAAGGTCTTGGGCAGATCTGTCGTTTGAGAGCAAAAATCATATACCCCTCCTACATGAGACTTGATTTACCACCCTACAAATTGTGCAACTTTTTCCTCTTAGCCTTCTAAGGTCAAGTTAATATCTGACAATAACTCACAGACTAAAAACTGCATATTAAGCTATAGTTTAGGGGTATACCTCAACTCTACAAGGAGTGAGATATTATTTAACATTTTTCTTTTTTTCGTTTTGAATGCTTTTCAATTCAAACTGAGGCTTCTTCTTGGCAGATCCAGACCTTGAGCTAGAGGTGGGGGGCTGTTTTTTTTGGCTTGCCCTGCCAGCTTTTCTTCCTTCTGCGATTTTTTTTTAATTATGTACTCACCCGCTCTGTGATATACTGGTTACAAACCCAGCACTTCTCCAGTGTTTCCTGCAATATTACACACACTGGTTAATAATTTTGTTTACATTTATTAGTTCTTGTTGCAATGACAGCATAAAATTGACAAATATTATTGTGGTCAACCTGTAACATTAAAGAAAACTAATCATATAAGATATCACTGTGCAGTTCCAGAAAATATCCATACTCCCCCCCACAGGGGGGATTGGAATTTCCTGGAGGGTGGGGGTTCTCTAAGAACAAAAAATTAAAGGAAGTATGAAGGTTAGTAATTGGAGTTTCCAGAGGAGTGGGCGAGGGGGTCTGAGAAAAAATATCTTCTGTGGGGGAGGTATGGATATTTTCTGGAACTACATGCACATTTTAAAAACAATATGATGCTAAATGTGATATTGACAACTACAAGTGACTTGCTCACCATATAGTCAGCCTCACAAAAACACTGCTCTTCCACTTTATAGAACACCTTCCCAGTTAACTGACATCCTAAAAATGTAACAAGGAAATAGAATCAACTCTGATGAGTCAGCAAGAAAATAATAGACATAAGTCAAGAAACCTGGTGAATCAGAAGTCTGCCATGATCAACCAAATGGATGTCAGCACTGACACACAGCTAACTGACACATATGCATAAATGAAACAGATTGAAGCTGTAGAAACCATGCAACAAAAGAAGAATAAAGGGTATGATAAAGACCATTAATGGTTACGCAGTGCAAACCACCACATCTATTATTGGGCAGGTAAACACTTGGCTGATAATTGAAGCGATTACACAGCAATAGATTATTGCTGCATAACTATTGACATCTAAAGAAGGCTGACAAGATTTACTGATTCACTCGTAAGTGGACTGACTCAATTAATCCAACAGAACCTACTCACCACACTTGACACAAAGAAAACACTTGATGTGGAAAAGTTTATCCATTGCTGTACATCCTGTCCCCTCTCCAGAAACCTTCTGACCACATTTACTGCACATTCCTATGCAAGGAATGATAGTTTAGATTAGGGGGTGGGGCATCTTCAATACCTTTCAATAAATTTTCACTTAAGTATAACAAACCCAACACCAAACCTTTTTTGGACAATTCATGAGTCTCTAATTAAAGGCAGTGTTGAGAGGCATGGTAAACTTAAGTTTATGGTGCTGGATTCTAGATTGAATAGTCTAGTAGTTTCAAGCCCTGACCAGGGCTAATAATTTATTTAGATTGTTTTCTTGGGTAAGACACTTTACTCTCGTGCTTGAATTGATCCCAGATGTCTGTTGAAATGGCTTTTTTTCAGGCCGTTTCACACACCATTGGTTTCATTCACGTGATTCCAAAAAAGTGATCACGTGATGACAAACATCACTTGGCGTGGTTGGCCATAGTTTGCAGCACAGCTGTTGCGAATTCTTCAAAAGTACCAAGTTCAAGACAAATCTTTTCCATGTGATGGATTTTGCATCTGTCAAACTCTACTCTGTGATATCTTGGATTGTATCTCGCTAGGAAATGCAAAACTCAACAAACTTGCAAACAAACTGTGAAGAAACTTCCCCAATGGCAAACATTCATTCATCATATGCTTATGAAAATCGCCATCACATATTCAATTTTTTTAATCACATGAATGAAGCCAACAGTGCATGCAACAGCCTAAAAAAAGCCTCTTCAACAAACATCTGGGATCAATAGTGCATTGGGTACTGGCAAATGTATTGCTAGTCAGTAACCCTGTATTGACCTAGGACCCATTAAGGGTGGCAAGTGGAGGTGGGGGAATACTCCTCCCTCTACCAATCTAGCCAATCAAGTCACACCTTTTCCTCATACCCAACTCCTGGGAATGAGAAATATGCTTAGCTTGGCATAGACAGAAAGTCACAGAAAAATATGCTAAGGAATTGTCAGACCAGAGCTATTGCAGACTCTTGACATTACCCCAAATGAAAAATATTAGTAATATCATTGTCTGGGATGAAGCACTTGACCTTAAAATGTGACAATTGGGCAAAATATACAAATAAGGCAATTTTCTGCTAATTTATATGAACTATATATATTTTGCAACCGATTGAAAAATAGCAATACTAATAACAGATTGAAGCAATTCTAACTTGGAAATTTTTGGCTCAGAGAAGACTGCAACACCCAGGAATGGAATGTGAAAGATTTTTTTAGAGGGCGACACTCTCATGCAAGTTTGTTGTCTTTTGCCATTCCAATCAAAATTCGCAGCACAAAAGCTTAAATGTTTAATTGCCGCTTTCATATAAGCTTGATGTATTTAACCAATGAAAGCATTTTTTAATGCGGTTTGAACAGAAACGATGTACAGTACTCCAAAAAATTACGCTTCGCTTAGTCTTATTTCAATCCCTGCTTTTAGGACAAATACTCGTGAAAAGTTAAAATATTTTGAAGTTATTAGGCTTTTCATCGAATTTCAAAAGATTATTGCCATTAAACTAAGTTCGGCGTTGCTTTTAAAGTTGGTTACTATCTTGGATTCTTGCTTTCACAAGATCTGAGATGAATCACGATCTCGAATCAAAGATCACGACCGACTACTTTCTGTTCTACGGTGTACCTGTGTGCAACGCTGAGAGTGAACTTAAACTACATCTGTCTACTCCACAGGATTAGTAGAGCCTTAAGAAGCTACTCTGATTCAGCAGAAAGCTAAAACAAGTGATGTTTTAAAAACAGCTTTGTCCTGTCATGTCAAAACTGCAAAATCGACTTCGAGAACAATGTACACAACACACGCAATATAATAGTGTACACAGAAACAGCGGGGAACCATCAACAACAGATTTCAATCACTCACCAAAAAAGTCTGGATCTCCTGTATTCTCTAAATTCTTTACAAGAAGATCCGTCAAAGCATCGAGTTCTTCTTCAGCACTTTTCATCCCGCTAGAAGGTTGTGGCGGTGGAGGGGGCCTCGCGCTCGCCCTGGTCAACCTTGTCGCCGTCATTCGGACAGGCTTCGGCGAAACAGGCGGTGGAATCTTTTTGCCTGTAGCTGGGTCTAATCTAATAGGAGTCCTAGAAGCCATTGTTATCAGCAAACACAAGATCACTCAAGCGCTACAATGTATTGTGCTGTTGACAAAGTGAACAGTACCTCGATCTGCTAGCTTGCCTTGTTTGGAGGGCGAATGTAAATGAGCCTGGAATGACAAGAATTCGGATGTGAAGTGGGTGGGGTAGGGTGGAAGGGGGTCACATCCGATGCGTGAGCCGGAGAACCTTGAGGGAGGGCGAGGGCAGTGTTTTTCCTGGGTTCGTGTTTACAGAAATGTAGTTGAGACCAGACGAGAGCATCTGACCGTCATGGTACGTCTGCCAGACGTTGAACTTACAATAACAGAGAACCCTACGACATTATCTGCCATTTTAAAGTTCTTTTACTTCTCATTTTCTTTTCACTAACTGACCGAAACAGTTTATATATGGGAAACTCTTTCAAATTTATACGCTTTTCAGTGATACATAGTTTTTTATGGTTTGAAAAATTAAAATCCTACATGTGAGAATTATTTAAAGATGCCCTGTTTTTCGGGTAACCCTGCCTCAAAGTCCCCTTGGCCAACCAGATGTCAGTTTAGAATGGTGACAAGTAAATTTGCCACAACGGGCACTATAAGTTAAGGGCTCGATGAGAGTTTTTCATTATTTTCTTCATTGACGCGATGAAAGCAACATCCCATATAAAAGGGGTAACATAGGCTCCTGAACATGTATATCACTTATCTAATAATCTTAGTATCAAACAAGAGAAAATGTTCTCTTGTATCAAACTACTGGTATACTGTGTTATGTAAGCTTGCAAGATTAATTCTGTGGAAATCAGTCAAAAAGCACGGGTTAACGTTGCTGTTGTTGTTATTATCTAGTACTTGTGTGTTTCATTATGTGAATTTTATTGGTGTCCTAGCTTCAGCTTTACCTTTGTTCCCTTAGTGTTGGAAACTTGATACTACATTCACGGCTAAAATTTGCGAACGGAATTCAAACTCTCCGCTGAGTACTTTAGAAGGGCTTTACACCAAGATTTCCCCTCTCCATTATCAATAATTGCCAATGACGTCCAGAGTTTGCAAAAATAGCTGACTTTTTTTACTTTAACAGTTAGTTCAGCAATTGTAGTTAACAACTTATCATTTTCCCGCTCGGGCAATAGGGAAGTAGGGACCACTGATACATCTGTTCCAGCCCAGGGTGACTCTGCATAGGGCGTTTCGGTTGTCTTCATCATCGAAGTTACGTTGTTGGAAAAGACGAAAAATTTGTTGCATACTGGCTCATCCACAAAGGGCTAGAGATGCTCGTTGATGTTGTTAGGTACTGATTTTGTTTGACTCTACCCTAGTCATGGAGTGAGGCATTTGAACCGCTTATTCTGCCATCTTTACTGACTGAATGCTTATACTCAGTGGTTGGGCGTTGCCCGACACCACCAGTATATAGTTGTCTCGTATATAAAGAACAAAAACACACGTCAAACTGCCTTTTAAGTCCTTTTTAAACATTTTATTCACAAAAATACTCATGAAAAAAATCAGTACTAACGTACTTCATAACTGCTAACATTTTTGATCAGTTCATAGATTACCTTTCAGTGATACACAACTACAAAAAATCTTTACATAAGTGCTGTTCAAACCAAACCTATTTTATGAACCATAAATATGTTTTAAGAGTTAAATAATGGTTAAAAGTCAACTTCACTGAAAGGTCTGTGTCTTCGTTATCTACACCGTATTGTAAAGGAAAATTTTCACGCAGGATTTTGATGTTGTGCAATTTCACTTCACTTCACTCCCACCAGTCTTGGTGCAGGAAAAAGTTTCGCACATTCGTTGGTATGCAACGGCATTTTCTCGCCAAAATAAGTAAGTCTAAACATTGGCGAGTTTCCCGCGCTTAGTACCGTTGCATAAATTATCCTTACAGTGACTGGGTGGAGTCCTTACCAAATTCTATCATGTACGGTAAAATGAGATTTCTACACCAAAACTGCTCTATAACGAGCTCAGTCTTGATTCCGCTAAACAAAAAGGCATTTACCACTGCTCAACATGTTTCTAAAAGACCTAGAGTAACTGACATTGAATTTTGCCTTACAAGCAGCGTTTTAGAGTTTGAATATTTACAAATTGCTTCTGGAAGAATCTAGGTCCCTTTGAGCGACCCTTTAAGCAGGTCTCGAACTAAGAGGCCCTGAATGGCCGAGCGTAGCCAAATTTCAGGAATGGCAGACGAATATAAAGTATACTCTTTGGCTTTAAATTTTTTCCTTTTTCGAGATCTGCCTTTTATTGCCTTTAATAGCGTGTTAGAAGCACAGAAGGAAAACTTGGACCAAATTTTGTGCCCACGCATCCCAGTGTACCCAACATTTGGCTCAAAGAGCTTTCTTGTTTGGTAGGTCTGTGGTTAGGGCTTCACCACTGGTATTGGACTTGCCGCTTGAGCCGGAAGTCTGTTTTCCGACAGGTTTGACATTGTGCAGTTTCATGAGTCCGTGATCTGCCATCCGCCACGCATCTCGGTCTGTCGACTCGTTTCTGATGTGAATCAGCACTTCATCCAAGCCGAGCTCGGCAATTTCGTCCCTTGAGGAAACAGAGAAAATAGAGATTACTTTTCAGAAACAAGATATAGCATAGCAATTGTTAATATTTAAACCTTTCTTAAGATCTGTATTTATTGGGAACTATGGCCGTACCACACTCAGCTAGAGTGTCTTAATAGTGGAGTGGAACTGGAGTGTATTTTAAATGTGACCGGGTTGTTCGAGAGCCGGTTAACGCCAACCCCTGCAGGATTAAAAGTTAAACAGAGGATTAATTTTTTTTCCTGCATAAAAATGTTTTTCGGTGCTTATGTTTTGTGAAGTTTGTGATTATTCAGACTCAAAACTGATGGACAAACAATATTAACAGAAAACCTCACCGACAAGGTACAAAACTGAAATAAAAATTCTCGCTAATCTTGTGTTAGCCTAATTTGAACAACCCGGCCCAGCACTACATCGAGGCTCCTTATTATCGGAACATTACGGATTCCTCTAATTTCATGCAGACTGGTGTACAAGGTTTTCAAGAGCCCGTTTGAGACCCAATATTACCAACATGTAATCTATCGTTGGAGTAAAGCAGACACGTAACATAGAGAAATAAAAAACTAACGCACAGGGGAAAAACGCGAGCTAAGCGAGCGCTAAGCACGCGGAGGTAGGAGCAGAGAGGAGAGTGAAGCGAGCTTAGCGAAGAATCCTGTCAAGTATTCCGTTTTGCGCTGGCGTCCAGTTCTCTCGCGATTCTATCCGCGCGTTCAACGATCGAATAGAAATACATGAAAATAGAGCTCTTTGAACAGTCTAACCAAAACTTGCATCTCTAACAACCGCGCATATTTGTCTGGTTGGTTATTTCTTGCACTTGACTCATGGAGTGCCAAACAAACGAATAGTTTGAGTCACAAGTCAAAGAGTCCAACCAAAAAGGCATTATGACAGTCAAGTAGATGACTTACTTGTTCTCGTGTGACTCAATCATAGCTAAAACAATCTTTGCCACTACATTCTGTAGCAGAGGATCAAAACTGTACGAAAACTCCATCAAACAGGACTTCAAGTCGGGAGCCTCGACCAGTTTTTGACAGGCCTGAAAATACAAAGAACAGTGGATGAAGATACCAAAGGGACCAGAAAAAAAAGCCTGTATTAAGTATGCAGCCGTACCAAGCAGGTCGCGTAAACGAAAATGAAAATGTATAACACTGTTTGACACGATTTCATGCTTCAAATTCTATCGACAGAAGGTGGGTTGACCCTCTCATAGATCTTCAGTAACATCCCCCCCCGTCAGTTCAGGGATCTATCCCCTGGGAGAGACCATCAATAGGATGCACAAAGATCTTCAGCAATATCCCCCGGGTCAGTTCAGGGATCTATTCCCTGGGAGAAACGATCCATAGGATGTGCAAAGGATGGACAGTTATTTTAGCGAACAGTTCCGAACAGAACAGAACAGTTCCTATGTGGAAGCTATAGCTCAACCTCCAAATTCACGAATGCGTGAATGCACTTTATGGACATATGGCCTGTTTGTTGTGATTACTCACCAACTCGTTTTCAGCGTAATACAGAACGATTTTTCCCGCCAGCAGGAATAACTGTTCGTCATCCGTGAGATTTGGAAGAGACAGCAGCAACTCAAGAAGTGAATCCTGTGAAGAAAACGAAAATCAAGTTTTTCCGGTTGCTAAATATACGGCGCGCTTTCAAGCTAAGTCGCAAAGAGATAGTTATAGTTTAGCTATAGATAGTTTTAGTCATAGTTTTCCAACTTTCAGCTGTTTATAAGTTGAAAAAATGACCGCTTTCAATATCCATACTTCAGTATCCAAACTGGTTCTTGATTAGGGTACTACAGACTTTGCCGTCGTTATTGTTTACATTTTGCCTTTTGTAGCCTACGACTTTTCGTAGAGGAGGATCATGCTAGATAGAAATTGACCCCAAACATTTAAAGACATTTCGAAGCTTGTGAAACTTAGTAATTGGTGTAATGTCTAGCTCTTCGGCTGTTACGCACTGAACGAGACTTTGGCTTTCATAAAATTTCTGGGTAGTAAAAGCGCTCATGAGCCTGCACATTTTTTGCAACATTTTCAGGTTTTAAGCCCGCGTCATGTAAAAGGTATTTATACATCGGGTTTATACTTCTTCTGAAAGTTTTAAAATTGTGTCAAGCCCTTTCAATATTTAGAGTTGATGTTTTTGCAGCTCATTAAGAGACTGAAGTGCCTGTGCTAATGAGGCAAATGTTACAAACAACGATTCCCCTTAAGAGTGAAAAGATAATCAGAGACCAGAGCACAGCGTAGTGTCTACAGGCTTTGCCGCTCTGTTCCCCTCACCAGGCTCTATACCTATCTTATGAGCCAGTTTATGCGCTAATCTTTCCGCCCGCACTAAAGTGAAATTAAATAAATTACAGTAGTTGGAATAAATCAGTGTTAGTACCTTGTAAAATACTCGAGTGAACGTATAGAAGTGTTACTAATATGTGAAACGCGAGCTTACATGTGTTATGATCACATCAGAATTCTCAATGGCCAACAGCTCCAGTGTCTGAAGGGCCAACCGCTGAGTTTCTGGATCTCGAAGCTTGCACAGGTGGACAAGAGACGTGGCTAGACAAAGAACAAAAGAAAACAAAGATTAGAACTCAAAGATCAGCTTCAAAACATGTCAGTTAGCTTTCCTGTAAGTTCTTACAATGGGCATCAGAAGGAATGATGGAGGAGATTGATCTCAAGATGCAGAAAAGCGACTTGATTGTCTTGACGTCATCGTTTCCGAAAAGCTCCGTTTTCAAAATGTTTTCCGTTCACACTAAAACGCAAAGTCGACGTTTTCAAATTCCTCCGGTTTGAAGCGTGTTTTCGAAAAGCTCCGTTTTCGTGACAGGCTAGTGTGGACGGTAGGCCTAACGGTAGAAATAAAGCTGCGTTTTCAAATTTCTCCAGCGTAGTGTGGACGGGGCCTGGAGTACACTTTAAAATTGTGTCAATTTAAAATTCTCAAACTCATTAATAATTCATCAAGTTCTGACCGTGACAGCATCTTGATATCTGATCTAATTAGCATGGATTTTCACGATTTTACTTCTCAATTTTCTCCTCAGTTTTTGTTCTATTGAGCAGATATATCAAACACCTCGAAGTTTGTCAAAATACTCCGCTACTCGTCATATTTTCCACTTGGAAATGTGGTCGAACACGCTCTCTCATGTTTGATGTAATGTATCTACACTCATACCTGGAGCACTTTGCTGAGACAGCATGACTCGTATTTCTGCAGTGAATGCAAGTTCAAGGAAGATTGCAGCAACAATGCGAGAAGCTGGAATTTGTACTGAAACAACAAAATAGGAACTTGTTATTAATCATCACTACTCCACCCTTTGGCCAGTAAATAATTATCACACAATTATGTGTAGACCTCATATAAAGACAGGTCTATCAGCCCTCTCGTGCAAACTTTAGCCTCTGTCACAAACCAACTAGCATTTAAGATGGTCTGCAAGGCACGAAAGAGGACATTTAAACTATCAGTCGAACATATCTTACTTCTTTCAGCGACGTAACACAGATCTTCCAGACTGTATTTATGAAAGGAAAAAAAAAGATTTAATTGTTAGTTATCTGTTTGCTTACTACACATTAACCATCACGCCATACATTGTGGCAGGCATAAAATTTGTTCTCACCCATTTTCTCCGATGACGACCTGCCTGTTGGCTTCACTGTCAGACACTATGTACGAGAGGGCTGTAACAGCTTCGTTCACCACACGGCTCTCCTTGGAATGTAACAAAGCACACATGGTGCGCACTCCACCTAGTTCCACAAATTGGTCCTGACAAGTCAAAGACATTCTATATATAATTTGACAGGCTCACAGATCAAAGATAATGATTAAATGACCAATAAATATCTAGTATGTGATAATCTTGACGTTAATGTTCTTTTTCTAGGCTTTTTTCAGGTTGGTTTTTGGTCTCTTGATTCAAGAATCCACATGCACTCACAAGTAAAATCTTGCCTGATGAAATCTTTCGAGGATAGTTTTTATCTTCAAACAATAAGATGCTTACCTATATCAGTAAAGATCTTTGGAGTTCTCAAGACTCTTGACAAGATCTTCAAACTCCTTTCTAAACGATCTTCATTGATCATCAAGGATCTTGGCAATCCTCGTCAAATCCTTGAAGATCTTGAAGGATCCTCGCAAAGATGTTGACAAATCTCTACCAACTGATTTTAAATCATGAATTTCATAATAGTTTGGAAGAGTCTAATTGTATTCATTTATGATTGACATCAATAAAAACAAACAACAATCTTTATACCTGTATCACAGGGACAGTCAGCAGTTCTGATATAGCTTCAATTGCATATTCCTGAGTTGCCTAGAAAAAAGAGAGAGTTATCCCTCACATAATACCCCTTTAGTACATGATTGCAACAAACTGAAAAAAAAAACTTTCTCAGCAGTTCTGTGTACTAAGCATTAAGCTTTGCAAAATGCAAAAATCAATACAGAGTTGCTGTCAACCGAAAATTCAAGTCACTCAATTCCATTGTGTGCAAACCAAGGTTGCTTCTTTTGTAAGATAGGAGTGATGTTACCCTAGCCAGGAGACTGGTTTTAAATCATGGCTTCTTCACCAAGTTCTAACAACTCTTCCCTTCACTTCACTACCACTGCAACCCTCCACCAGCCCTGCCCCTACTAAGGGGTGCTAACTGTAAAATATCGCAGTCGGTAACCATGCTAAGTACTGAAACTTGTAGCTTGGCACCAGAAACAACCTGCATGCACAATGCAGATGATCATTACTCCATTTTAAAATTAAAACACATTACTAGGAATCCACAAAAAAAAAAATATGTTAATTAAAATGAGGTTTTGTTGTCAGGACAAGAGTTTTTACCTGGTCTTGTGACAGACATAAATTCATCAAAGCTGGCACCCTGTAAAAATGACATCAGAAGGATTATTTGATTTAAAGGTTTTTGGAGCCCAGCTTTTCCTGGAGCTTAAGTCTGTTTAAGAGAATAGGACCACTGCGTATATACACACCTCCCTCTTATCTGGGCACCCTTAGGATAGGCTACAAGTACTGCTCTTGATATAAATGTCTGTTTTGGAAAGGTGTCCCCCTTAGACTCTACAATCTGAAGTTTAGCATTCATCAGGGCTCGAAGTTAACTTTTTAACACACTTGCAAAGTTTTGCTGGTAAGATTTTGTTCCACTAGCAAACTGGGAGACATGGGTGATTCTAACTTGCAAATGTTTGCTAGTGGATATTTTTCTCACTCACAGATTATCAAAATCACTCGCATTTTGCGAGTTTGCAGGCGTTAATTTCAAGCCTTGATTCATAATAACTATTTTTGTCAATTTTTGACAAAAATAAACAGAATTGCCTGACTAAATATCACGATTAAGCTATCCCTTAAAGAAGAGCGGTTAAAAGTACCCAGAACCACCCAGGCAGGTAATATTTTGGAATACACAGGAAAATGCAAGCGCAGCAGACCAAAGAACAGCCAGAGGAGGTCATGGGGGCAAGAGGTGCATCAACTGGGGTTGAATTGGACAAAGATTATCTGAATTGCTCAGGACCTTGCTGGATGGCATGAGATTGTGGATACCCTTTATTCCCCAGAAGGACCACAGGGATGCAAGACAAGGTTAAGCATCTAAACTACATACAAGTCAAAATGCCAAAACATTTCCGTTGGGCAAAAATTCAGCATGAACCCACTCCATACCCTACTTTACATGTAAAAGGCACCCATTGTAACACGTTTTCAATAAAATTAAAAGGATGTTGACTCTAAGTAAGTTCAGGCTTACCCTCCCTCTTGTACAATCCTAAACTTTGTGTCATCTCCTGTGGCAGCTAAGCTGGCCAGTTCAAAAGCTGCACTTCGTCTTTCCTTGATGCTTCCAGTCTTAGCACTTTTCATGACCTTATCAATGTCCCTGATCTGCACAAGGTAGGTCTCAATCAAGTCACCAACCTGAAGACACAAGAAAAACAAACTTTAGCCGTGGCTGAATTCTAAAAGCATCTCAAACATTTCCATAGTCAGAATTTTATGCATAACTTAGTGGTAGTAAATGGTCGTTCAATAACTTATTGTCAAGCATGTTTTCATGACAACATCTCAGTCTTGATTTCTATGCAAGGCTTAGAAAGTCTTCGGCTCAAAGAAAACATGTTAGTCTTTCCATTTCTCAAAGTTCTACAGTCCTCACAAGTTTTAGGATTATACAGATGGACAAATTCTTGGTTGCCCTGCGTTTAACAGGTTTCATAAATGTATCCACTCCAACCTTTCCATCCTTCCTTCAAAACCCGAGAGTTAGTAATTGTACATGGTTTGCCATCTGCATAAACAACAAGTCCTTCATTACCTTAATGAGTCATTCACTACCACAAGTAAGTGGTACAGTGCGGGTAACGGTCAAGAACAACTCTGATGGATTGCAGAAATAGATTATTAGTTCTGACTTACCTCTGTCTTAAAGTTATGAACCAAAATGGCACAGATCAACACACTACAAACCAGGAAAAATGCCTGGCCAAGGTAGAAGATAACTACAACATAGAAAAGAAATCATCTCATTTTACAACAAATAAATACGATAGAAGGGCGACCATATTCCTATGGTCTAAACTTAGTCTGCTTAAATTATGGTCACCCAGAAATTTCATAATTTTGGTGATTATTCCTGAGACAAGCACAACTATACTCTGCAAATTGAGAGTGGAATGTAGAGAAGCAAATCAGAATATAGTCCTGATACCAACCACTGATTTGGGTATGGATTCTATGCATTTTGGAGCATTCTTCTGGTGTGATACACAGTGAATAAGAGTTAAATGAACCCACCCCAAGGAGTATTTGATTTCTCTCAAAAATCAGTACGTACTTTGTATAATGCATGCCCCTGAACTGTAATAAATACTGTAACATTTGTTTACTTTATAGTCATTAAATCAAAGGGTAGGATTACATTTCTTTCATTTTTAAACTTCAAAGTAACTTTAAACACAAGTTAATATAATTTCTGCAAATTTAACTTATTGTCAAAATACTTACTGGACCAATACATTTGCTCCTTCTGCCGTAAACAAGTCTGTTCTTCATTATCACACTCGTAAGCCTGATAAAACAAGGAAGTGAAAGTGAAAAGTCAATATTTTTAGTTTAACTATATTTGGAGTTGAATACATTTTATTGACCTCCAAATATTGTAATTCACCTCAGGAAAACATTTACAACTTAATCTGGCACAGTCAGTTTTCCCTCTTTGATAATTATTTGCCATAAAGACCGACGAGCAAATCAATAAATATTCTTTCCAAATTTCTTTTTGACAACCAAAGAATGGAAGAAAACTAGAGCAACCGTTCATGATTTGTTTTTATTTCACCGCATTACGTTCAAGTTTATTGTTAAATTCATGGTTAAGACCCAGTCGCCTCATGGCTAGGATACTTCACAATCGAGTGGTCCAAATTGAAGCACCAGCTGGGGTGATCGTGTTATCCCAGTCATAGTGCCTTTCTCCACCCAGGGGTATAAATGGGTCATGGTGAACTGCAAGAGACCTGACAAACTGCTGAGGGGGGAAGGGGTGAGGGGGGAGAGGATGTGTTCGCAACCCATCTAGAAAGAGATTGAAGCATTTTACACTTCCAGTTGCTCCATGCCAACCAGATTCCAGGATAACCTTGGCTACCAGTTAGGTTCAACTTGCAAGTTTACTTGCCAAATGAATCTTACATTATTAATTACACTTAAATTAATTCCACTTGCTGTATTCGAATAATCAAATTCACAAGCACTAACTCACTTACCAGCAGGTCAAAAGTGATGTAGATTCCCATCAAAAGAGATGCTGTTACATTCATGATGGCTCCAACAGAAAATGCAATCACAAAATTATTTTTGCTGAAATAAAACAAAAAAAGAGATAGTTCTTTTATAATCCACTAGTTTTCTTCACAATTTTATTCCCAGAGCATCACCGTTGTACCATCCATGAAGAAGATCTCAAAATGTGCAGATGTAACTTGCTCACATTTTGTTTCATTAAGTACTATGGATTGGCTAGAACCTGCTCACAAGCTAATGTTGTTCTTGATGTATGATCATCATTACCATCAACATCATCTTCATCAATGTCTGTACATCGTCATCATTATCAAGGCTCAATAAAAAACTTGAATTCTAGCTTGCCCTTTGGATAAGTGGCTCTCGAATTTTGCTTGCCCTGGGCAATTCTTAGTTTACTTTCTTTTATTTAGTTGGTAGATGACCTGGACCCTTGCCCAGTTGGCAAGTAAGACTGAAAAGTTCCTTGCCCAGTCGAAAAATCTACTCGTCCAGGACGACTAGACGGCACTTTTATCAAGCCCTGATTATAATCAACATATTGGTTATTATTTTGTTGACAATAAACTTACTTCATGCCATACTTCCCAACAAAGCCACCAAGTCTAGTGTAATTTGGGGAGTACAAGAAACCAAACAGCATCAGAGCTCCTTCAAAGATCAACAAAACATGTGTTAACGTACGTGTGCATGTCTTATGTAGCAACTCATACAAAAAGAGCTAACGATCATGAAATGATCTGATATTACAACTGCAGTGAATGTAGCATTTCTTTACCTGTCCAAAATGACGAGAACCAATAAATAGTTGTAAAAGCTAAAACAGTAGCCAGGAAATGAATCCATAAAAGAACCTGTTAAAAAAACAAATGAATTTGATCAATTCATCAATCTGTAAAACAATCAACCACTTAGTCAGTCACTCAGTTAGTCACAATTTGGAAATTAACACGAACCAATTGTGATTAATGAAAAACATCAAAACCAGTAGAGAATCAAAACCACAGTAGAAAAAGTTGTCAACCTGTATTGTGTGACATAACGTGGACATGTTCTTTATTGTGAAAACTGGAGAAAACTGTTAACCTTAAAATTGCCCAGCAATTTTTCCCTCCGTTCAAAAATAGTGATTTCCTTTCTCAAGGCCTTCTGCACATCATCTAACTCTTCTTGCCCCANACATCGTCATCATTATCAAGGCTCAATAAAAAACTTGAATTCTAGCTTGCCCTTTGGATAAGTGGCTCTCGAATTTTGCTTGCCCTGGGCAATTCTTAGTTTACTTTCTTTTATTTAGTTGGTAGATGACCTGGACCCTTGCCCAGTTGGCAAGTAAGACTGAAAAGTTCCTTGCCCAGTCGAAAAATCTACTCGTCCAGGACGACTAGACGGCACTTTTATCAAGCCCTGATTATAATCAACATATTGGTTATTATTTTGTTGACAATAAACTTACTTCATGCCATACTTCCCAACAAAGCCACCAAGTCTAGTGTAATTTGGGGAGTACAAGAAACCAAACAGCATCAGAGCTCCTACAAAGATCAACAAAACATGTGTTAATGTATATGTGCATGTCTTATGTAGCAACTCATGCAAAAAGAGCTAACGATCATGACATGATCTGATATTACAACTGCAGTGAATGTAACATTTCTTTACCTGTCCAAAATGACGAGAACCAATAAATAGTTGTAAAAGCTAAAACAGTAGCTAGGAAATGAATCCATAAAAGAACCTGTTAAAAAAACAAATGAATTTTATCAATTCATCAATCTGTAAAACAATCAATCACTTAGTCAGTCACTCAGTTAGTCACAATTTGGAAATTAACACAAACCAATTGTGATTAATGAAAAACATCAAAACCAGTAGAGAATCAAAACCACTGTAGAAAAAGTTGTCAACCTGTATTGTGTGACATAACGTGGACATGTTCTTTATTGCGAAAACTGGAGAAAACTGTTAACCTTGAAATTGCCCAGCAATTTTTCCCTCCGTTCAAAAATAGTGATTTCCTTTCTCAAGGCCTTCTGCACATCGTCTAACTCTTCTTGCCCCAGTAGATGAGCTCGTGAAGTGAATACGTGTACATCAGAGCCTTCCAGGTCTTGATTGCTTTGTTCTGGGCCATATGTAGTTGCATATGACTGCAAAAAATAAAGGGATGTATATTAAAATTTAACATTTACAGAAATGAATGCTTAAAGACCCAGTTTTGGCCAGGATGCAATGCACATTGTGCAGCATTAGAAAACAATAGATACCTTGCTACCATGTACACCAAAACAATCACAGATGCACAAAAAGCAGAATGGTCGATATTGAGAATTTCTCAACAAAGAATTTCTCAGTAGACTCCATGCAAAAGTCACTGATTCCTAAACTCCCCGCAACTCAGCTTGGTAGCTCTGCCTACAAAATGAAATTGTTTCAAGTTGTATGGTTTCACTCGATATTCGTCGGAACCCCAAGGGGAGTAATTGGGAATTCCAAGGGGGAGGGGATCTCAATGAAACCAAATTTTTAAAGGAAAGTGTGGAGCAAAAATGGTATAATTTTCAAGGGGGATGGGATGTTCAAGCCAAAAAATCCCTCTGTGGGAGGGTATGGATATTTTCTGGAAAAAACATTAATTTGTAATCTTCTAAGAATAGCGTTTAACTCTATATGTGAAATTTAGTGAAGGTAACACCAAACTACAGTTATGTTACAGGAAAGCAATCATGATAAAATATAATACACTTACCCCTCTTTTCCTTTTACTCATTGGAACCATTTTGATGACAGAATTATCAAGAATCCTGTAATCCTAGAATCAAGAGGGAAAGTAATATAGTGAATGCTGGCACTGTTAAGGGTGAACTTGGTAACTATCTGCCTAAATTCTTATATGCTCTGGTTAGAAGGATAACCACTTTCAATTGGCTGTAAACATGAGTATGATGTCACATTGCAGAAACCTTGTAGGTTTAAATATTGAAAGAAATAAAAATCCAGGAATAAAGGAAACATTTGAAACTACTTTCTTTTATGCAAACACTTCCCTATGGTTGGCAAGTTAACACAACCTTTCAAATTGTTCCAAACTCCCTTTCATGTATCTATCAGGCCCAGGGGGGGGGNGCCCCAAAGGGTAGGGTTTTTCAGCCGTTTTAGTCATAAATAGGGTATCAATTTTGGCCATATTGGGCTTTAAAAGGGTATGGTTTTAGCGCTCTGGTCTTGCATTGGGTATGTTTCTTAGAAGAAGCTACTTTTTCATCATTATCAACAAGACTGTCAACAAAAACCCCTCATAACTTATGTTAAGGGCAACTGCACCAGCTGCAACAGTCATAAATTAGGGTATCATATTTCTGGCCAGGTCATAAACAGGGTACCAAAAATCACAGATTTTGGTTATGAATAGGGTAAGGGTTTTGGGACCCCTAACCGACTTTTCTGGGAATACCCCCCCCTCAGGCTATCAGGCTAAGTTAACGTTAGCAAGCATACTAATTTCTGTACTTAAAAAGAAATCATTTAAAATATGTGCCCTGCGGAGCGTATCCTGGTTTTTGTAGGGCGAAGCAACTTGGAGTTTTTGATTACTCCACATGGATGGATGCTAATTCATATTTGAATGTAACCCTTTCTTTGGGTTGCCTTTGTTAACAGTTCACAGGTCTGCACCCATTTCTTACCTAAGGGAATAGAGATACTAGGAGAAATCAAGTGTCTTTTCCATAAACATAAATCAGAGACCCTTGGCCATGGAAAGCCACGAGAAAAACCTCTGGCACAGGACAGTTTCATTCACCATTTTCGTTGAACTTTGATCAATTTTATTGGATTACATTTAGACCAATCACAGTGTGCATCTCCCACCGTGATCACATGGACTGGCATGTGAAGACATGACACATATTCATGTGACATGACAGATCTGGTCTGGTTTCAATTCATGGCTTCTACGGGACTAAAAACTATGTGATACTCCCGTGAAAAATGTTCCTAATTCGAAGTCTTCGCTTTCGTGTCTCTTTTTTTTACCCCAATGCTGTGTGTAATGGTGGATATCACAGCCTTGTATCTGAAAATGCTCAACAACTGAAAATCTTTGAAAGAATCTCAACACTGATTGCTGTCAGTAGGGCCACATATTCTTTGTAAGACGGGCTACCGATGGTTCGAAAAATTCAAAGCGACTGTCAAAGAAGTCACAAATTTAAACTGAAAATATTACAAAAAAATTCTTGTATGTTGAAAAAGAGAGGCTACAAACGGTGAAAATACGCATTCAAAATGCTGTTCCAGCTCGCCTGGTACACCGGCATCAGGAGCATTGTGTAGTTCAACACAAAATCCAGTAATTAACTCAACTAATAGCGATTTTCCGAATCTTGTTGGCAAAACCGCCAAAACATCCTTGCTGCGAACACAATTGGCAATTGCATCCCTTTGTTCAGCGCTTTAAAAGTTGTCAACACCATTGAACATTTTGAGGAACTTCTGTTATGGCTTTAACCAGATCGTTCACAAACCTTACAGCCCGTGCATAAACATAAACCTCAAAATCCGCCATCCACAATCATCACATCACCCAGCGACATTTCACAGGCTCAGATTCTCTATTCTTAGAAACCAATCACCGTGTCTGTTTGATTAGAAAACCCTTGGGAGGTTGTTAGGAGCCAATCAACTTTCTAGTCGAGATTCTGGACTAGACAGATTAAAACTGGCTTGTCATTGGCTCGGTGCTGTCAAAGAAATCACGCTCTGCTCCAGAGGTTTTTCGCACGGGTAACAATAGAGACATGACCGACACTGGAAAGTGTGCAAGAAAAACCTCTGGCACCCAGGGTATGGTCAAGATGAAAGTTAGTCAAAATGTCCACAAAACAACATAGTAAATAATATAAAACAAGGATTTTGAGAAAGTTGCTGTTGGCTTACCTCAAAGGTATAACCATCTCTAAGATATTCTCCTTTAAATCTAAAGCGAAACTGGTGTTCAGCTCTTCCTAGCTCATATAAAATATGAAGCATCTGTGCTCTTGCTCTTGCAATGGTCTCATGTGGGTTACACACCAGGGTGAATGTCTTGCTCTGTACAATAAAACACAGGTATACAAAGCAACACAAATGTTTTTCAAGGCTTTATATTTGGACTAGCCACTGCAGGAGTTTTGAAATGGAAAACCTGAATAAGATTTGCATGGCAATGATTAATTCGAAAATGGACTAAGAGTCGAATCACAATACAATTCAATCTTGAGCTAAACTTGACCATTTGTAAGCTTTTATCAAACTTACTATGGAACAAATGAAATGTGCCTTTTTCAGTTCGGTAGGTACATTTCTATAATCTTTTTAAGACCAATTATGCAGGTACAGTAAATAATGAAGCTAATTCTGTAATATTCTGTGTGGAAAAAAGAACACATCATATTCAGCCAAATATCAGCTCGCTTCGTGCTATCGTCTCCAAGAAACAAACAAACTAAAACAACATGAAAACATTGCTCTTCTGAGAAACAATGTAGGATTTCAACTTACCGGGAAAGCTTTGCTTTCGACGTAAATCAACATGGCTGCAAATTTTAAACTCAAGATCTGCTAAAAATTCACGGTTTTCTGTTCAATTCTTAGCGAGAAAGGAATCTTCCATCGCCATGTTTGCATCGATTGACGTCAACGCAAAAAGTGACTTAGTATAGTCCCCTGAGTACTCTTCGAGCCCAGACCCATTTCAGACTTTAGAAAAGCGCGGGAACTACCGGGTTATGTTTTCATCTCTGACTTTCTACAACTATAATCCCTGTGAAAAACATTACATGTAAAATGAAATAGGTAAATGATTTATTCATAAACTTTGAAGAAGCGCTTGTAAGAAAAGATATCAAAAGAGACAGACAGGGCGGCCTGGGACAGATGGGCGCGCTATGAACGGTTACACGTAAACAAACGTTTCCTGGCGACAGCAACTGTAGTTTTATATCGTTGGCTGCATGAAATCTTTTCTTTCGGAGAGCAAAAAGCTGTGGCCGTATAGTAAGGATTAATTACGGGATGAAAGTGAACTAAAGCATGGATAAGGAAAAGTACGGTAAGATTCAGAAGTTTTGTGTGTTTAAAAAATATTATTTTCATGAAAGATACATTACTTGCAAAAAGTTTCGGACGTTAAAATTTTGCACGTTTAATTTTCGGACACTTTTTATCTCATTTCCGACAAATTTCAGACAAAAATCTCGGAACATTTACTGAAACATAGGTAAAGTAAATTTACGCCTACAAAACACGAATTAGACTGAAACAACATCTGTAAAAATGATAGTTTTCCACAATCCCCATTTTCCACACTTCTAATTTTCCACACTCCTCGTTTTCCACATCCCGCACGTTTCATCAATTTTATTGTCTACATTACTTGCAAAAAAAATTCGGATGATATTAATTTCGGACAGAAAAAGTGTCCGAAAATAAAACCGTCAGAAATTTTAAGCTTCCGAAATGTTTACAGTACAGTATAAGCTCTTAGTTTCCTTTATGCCAGACTTTATGGAGCGAACTCTAGTTGAGACACGGCTTGACATACGTAACGGCTTGATAGAATTTGTGTTATTTTCTCGTCGTTGTACTCGTAAGATTGGCTTGAGACTGCGGTAAAATGAGGAATTAACAATTCGTCAACGAGCACTTGTTGGATATGAGGTGGTGGATCGCCAACGTTGCGCTCCGAAAAATCGGTACATCTTGCTAATTTTATTTTGTCGATAGTAAGCATGGCTGATATTAAGAGAGAATGAAGGGTATAAGAGTTAGTTGTTCTTCCATGTACGCCTTATTACCAAATCCTTCTCAAGTTATTTTTAGATCAATCCTGGTTTCGGAAATCCCAAGAGAGTCTAGGAATAGTCAACCCTGTGACGCGGATTTCGTTTCACGTGGACAGTGCAAACGGGTTTGCACGCATTTTTATCCTCCACGAAAACATCCCCACGTGCAGCAACTTCAATTAGCGGCGGAAGAATGACGGAGGGACTGGCCTTGCGCTATGGCCCAAAAGTAACTTGAGAATAAGTCCAATATAGGGGATCAATTCTCTTACCCTTCGATCATCCTCTCTCGCTGATATTGAAAGGCCGCTAAGCCGATCAAAACTCTGGAAATTTATGCTCCAGATTTTAGAAATCTAAAATGGCCTGTTTTCTTTTTATTTTCCAAATACACACAAATTTTCTTGGTTGTGCATTGCGTTTACATCAGTTTTGTTTTGTCATGTTTAGTACGATCCAAGGTAATCTCCAGCTCTTTGTTTCCCGTCGTATATAAAGTAATTGCAAGGTGTGTTTTCTGGAAAATCTTTCCTTGTTATTCGTCGAGTTTCTAAGGGAGAGACCCAAAAAACTTGGGAAAAAGAATGTGAATGACTCTTTCACAACTAATGCGTGGTACACCAGAAATAATCTGAGAATGTTTACTGCGTATTTGGAAACAGTTTTTTTTCGATTACTTTTGTTTTCCCCAACACATCGGCCGTGTTTCGTATGGAAAAGTTTAGACCGCTCAGGTAAACAATACGAATGCTCCTTTTCGTCATTGTTGAGTTTTCAGCGCCTCAGGAAGGACCTGGACGGCTGCTAAAAGCATTGTTTTGACAATGGATCAAATTGTTTTTCTTTCCTCGTGCTTGCTTCTTAGTGTTTGTGCGACTCTCATATTTGCGTCGCTGCGGTGAGACCCAGGTTTCTTTTTTCTCATCGCACCAATAGGTCAAAAAAAAAAAAAAGAAAGAAAAAAAAAGAAAAAGAAACTATGAACAACAACGTTTAAAATTCATTGTTTTAATTGGCGACATACCAAACACCAGCTTTAATGGCTGGTTGATCAATAATTTTAAAAATATATGGTCTTTACGCTGATTGAAGGTAATAAAAGCTAAGGGGACGAATAAAAATTTCTAATAAAAGTTATGATAATAAATAGATGCACACATTAAAGCTAAGCAATATATTAATTCTTACACACACTTTCTTGTCGCCTCACTTCACTCTACAATAAATCAACGCACGCAATTATTAATGCTAACGGCTATCGAATAATATTTCGCTGATAAGTTAATCTTTCATTAAAATATTCAGATATTACCAAACTGTAAAAAATTTGTAGAAAGTTGTTAAGTGCCGCTATGAGTTGGCTCATGCGACTAACTATTTTCACTATATGGTAAATTTAGCTTCAGTGTATAAGCCACAAATAAATTAGATTTACAGGTTCATCATTGTATACAGTAAGAGGACTTGAATAGTTCCCAATCATAAAAGAAAACTTTAAACATTTCCAGTTTCACGCCATAGTGTTTTTTCCATTTGAGACTAAAGCCTAGTTTACACTAGTGACAAAACGACATAAACATAACGAGATAAGAGGGACGTTATGTCGTAATGCTTGCAGTGTGAACACGGCCTGACACAATGACATAATAGCAACATAACAGCATGAAAGGAAAACAGCTGATCTTTTTGTTACGTCTTCATGTCGATGTTCACGTTAACAACATAAGCGATTATGTCGTTATGACATTCTACGTCATTTATGTCGTTATGTCGCTAGTGTGAGATTTGACTCGATTCTCGGAGATGGAATTTTGAGCGGTCACTACAGCTAACAAACGTCTTGCGTACAGAAATATGATTAAAAAACATTCCGCTAACCAGACTGTGTATCTTGAGTAGTGTAACAACTGATAACTTAGACCAAAGTTAAATAAATAATACAAAATGGATAACCATCTCACTCACAGCGGCAGTAGAAATTAGAGCTACTGCAATAAACTGTTACATTTCAATATTCCAGTTTTAAATTTAAGTATCAAATGAATGTAAATATTATATACGGAAGCAAATACCAATTATGTCGACAGTAAGTTATTTTTGACACTTTTTGGTGAACTTCAGGTAAAAATATCGCCTTGACATTGTATAATTTATCATAAAAAGGTAAAACAGCATCATGAACGCTGTTGTCATAATCACTATTTTCACAATAATTTAAGTTAGATCTGAAAAAGATACTACATATTAAGAAAGTTCCATAAATACTTTCTGTACAATGTAAAATTTCTTATTTTATTCGTAATTATAATGGCTGTTTTTCACTAGTGCATAAGCATAAACACATGCGGTTCACGCAGGCGCAGTAAGGTGCTGTTCAGTAACACCTTTTATTAGAAATTTTCCCAACAAAAGACGTTAATTATCAACATCTTACTACTTCCGCGTATGTCGGCTTATGCTTATGCGCTAGTCAAAACCAGCCTTAAAGGACCAAACCATTCCCCTCCCCCCGTACCGTGAGTAGCTTCTGGGTCATTTAAGGGGCTATGTACAGTTGTCAGTTAATCAGATAATTTTATATAAAAAAAGACCGTGATTTAACTGTGAGTAAAGTACGTGTAATCAAGTGCAGTTTTTTTTCTTTTGTATTAAATATCCTTGTTTCTCTTTGGTGCACTATTGTCTCTTAATTCAGTGCTGTTCCAGCTTGGTAAACTATAAACTTGAGATTTAAACTGAAGGTTATTTCTCTGGTAAAAAGTTTTAACTTAAAACTACATCACATCACTCCCATAATTTGTTCTTCTTTGGACTAAAAAACTGTAATAATTACTGAATACTTCATAAGAAAACCTTGTGTCGTTTGGCAGATAGCAGTGAGCGTAGTGTGGTCAAGAAAGAATTCTTAAACACATAATTATCGCACTGTACTGCTCATTAATCCAGGTCGATGTGTACCGTTGAGTGAGCCATTTAATGTGTTACTTCCCATGGTTCTCTCCGGGGATCTGCGCTCAGGGGAGTACAATTCAGGAGAGCCCGACGAAAAGGACCTCTCTAGAGAATCCGCGTGATTCAATCGCGCCAGAGCATTCTTTAGTACTTGAGAGTCAATTGGTCCTGATGCTTTAGGGCTTGTGTAGGGACTTGATAAAAGGGCCTTAAATAAAGCAACAAAAGATCACATTTAAATTCTCCCTCTATGTTTGTTCTCGTTAGTTGGAAGTTCGAAATGAAAATTGCCAACCGGTTAGACTCTCACCAGTTGGTATACCAAGTTTACGTTTTACATTAGCCACGGCAGTGCCAAATACTCTGACACTCACAAGGCTATTTTTCCCTTGCCACTTTCTAGAACAAAGAGGAAAACGCGAAATACTCGCTAAAGTAGCACTTTAATGACGTCACTAGACTCTAAAAGTGTTACTTTGTTTCCATTATCAATACACTTTTGAGCAGATAGGACACAAAAGTAATGAAAACTAACAACCAAGTGTTCTCGTCTTGATGAGTTACCACATTCTCAGAACTTACACAAAAGAAGTGAACAACATGGAGAAAGAGGAACTACGTTTCTTAACGTGTGATTGAATGGAGTACTACTGTCACCACCAGCTCGTGCACAGAAAACCAATGTTGAAGAACATGACCATCTCACGAATTCGCCTTGACTGGTAATCAAATTCTCCAAAGGAGAATTATACAGGATATCTGACAAACAGTTGCAAGAATTTTGATGTGTTAAGCTGTTCAAAAACTTAAAACTAGTTAACTGACCTTAAGTTTCTCAAGCTCTCTTGCAATAGCACCCTTTTCTTGTATCAATAAGTTAACTTTGTCGTGAAGTTCAGCGTTCTCTTTTTCCAGTGCATTAAGTGCAGTCTCCCTTTGGCGTAAGCTCCTCAAATGTTCTCGAATGACTTCTTCGCCGTCTGTTAATCTATTTACACACAAAGGAAAAGTAACGAATAAGTTGTTGAACATCACAGTCTATCTACATCTACATTTACTGAGCCAGCAGAAACTATATGTCTGGATTTATGACAAAAAATATACAGGTTAAATAGGAATGTCAGTCTTTTTTTCCCTCCACTCTCTTATCTTCCTTTCCTTGCTCTTCTCTCTCTTTTTTCCCATCGCTTGTAGTGATTTTCAGCCCTTTAGGAGAGGTGAAATTAAAGTGCATATGGGTGATTTGGTGCAACGTATTTAGACGGTTTTCATAAATCCAGTCATATCTCTATTAACTATGGTCATATATACAGTAAACTATATAAAGTCTTCCTTAATATGTAAGAGTCGACTGTCTTACTTGGCTAGAAGCTCTCGTTTTTCTCCCATGAGCTGTTTTTGAGCAGCTTGTGTTGTATCCTTCAGTTCTTCTTCCTTGTTCATTCTCTCTTGAGTCAGTTCCAGACTGCTTTGCAACGACAGCACTGTGGACTCCAAGTTTCTTTTTTCACGCGCAAATCGATCCCTGAATTCATAAAATAATCAAACAAAGACACAAATGAACACTTATAAACTGCGCCAAGGTATTAACTGTGTTTCCTTGCTATTAAATCTTTCGGACAACAACAAAAAAACAGAATACTTCCAAAGGTCGCAGTGACAGGAGACAGCCACCTTCTTAAAAAACATTCCAATTTCAACTTATTTTTTTCAGTTTCAAAGTGACCTGTTTTAGTTCTCTTCTTTTTCTTATTATAATTGATTCTTAGAAGCAGCTTTTCGGTGGACTTAACATATCCACTCCCACATATGCAAATTATTTTGATCGAAGGAGAAGCCACTATCAATCTAGTTACCAAAACCCCAGACAGTAACACTTCATTTCATAATTTCCGCTTATGGTACTGGAAATTATGAGTTACAGACTTACTGCTGATAATTCACATGAAACCGTTAAGATTTAATGGTCTCTTATTAGTCTTAACCAAACTTGTTCTTTTTGATTTCCTTTCGCCTCTGCTTTTTTTCACCTTTGTTAACTATCATTTAAAAGTTATTTCTCGATTCAACAATACTCTACCAAGTCGCCAGCTTACTTGAGTGATCTAATGGTGGCATGAGCCTTGGTTTTCCTCTCGTCGTTTTTCCTCTGTAGTTGGTCTATCCTTTCCGCAGCATTCACTAATTCTCCCTGTAAGTACTCCACTTCCTGTTGAAGTTCATTTACTCTCTCTGTCAGAGACTTGGCATCATCTTCTTTTCGTTTATGCTGACAGGTTGAAAGAAAAACAATCGTGAGAAACTATACTTTGATTTCTCTTGCAGTTCATTTGTCGATGCGCTTCTCAGTTCATTAGCACCGAGACAGTCCAAAGGCAACAAATATAACGAGGTCACGTTGTGAAACGTTTACGAAGTAAACGAATTTATTTACGCTGATAAGCGTTGTGGGATACGATTTTACGAGCGGATGAAGCGTAAGATAAGCGGAAAGTGTGAAGCTACTTTCTATCGAAACTGTGAAAACTAACTCCCTTTTATAAAACGTCTAAGTTAGTTCAAGGGCCAATAACTAAAATCAGCCAATCAGATTGCTCCATAGCAGGTCCAATATTCTCTCAGTATATAATGGACCGGGTACTGTCCCGAATGATCCCACATGATTACCCTTGAAGATGTTTCAGTTGTTTTATGGCTTTTGCTTCCAGGTCTCTTTCCCTTCTGGTCTGTTTAACATCAGAAGCTATCAGACGTGAAAGAACGCCTAGTCGGCTTCCAGTCAGAATTGCGCGCTTTTTTCCAGTCCATGCATGATCGTGGCATTTATTTTCTAAACATTTTCAGTCTTGTAAAAAATCTTTAATCAACCAAGCTTGCTCGGCCCTCAGTCTTTTTGGTACGGAACTCGCTGTGCTTGGTCCGTACTCTAAGAACTCGGACCGATATTCTCCCAGTACGGCCCTCGCGCTTGGTTAATAAGGGGTGCTTACCATTTACAAAAACCATCCAGTTGGAAATTTCAGGCATAAATATTAAACAATTAAATTCGACGTTGCGGGAGAGGGAATCGCTATAAAGTATATCCACATCAGCTAGAGAGACTTAAAAGAGCAGAAAAATTGCATCACCTCAAATCACAGCCCATATTTTCAGAAGCTTCCCAAACGGAATGGCGCGAACCATTTGATTTTCCAACTGGAATTTCCGGTTTCCCCATGTAAATGGTAAGTACCCAAGATACATATATATATTTGTTGGTTGATGTGAAGAGGTCCAACCTTATCTCCGGTATTCTTGAGCTTCTGTTTCAGGTCTTCTATCTTAACCTCTTGTTCTTTAACTGTGTATTGCAGCTGACCGTCTCGTTCACGTAACAGTTCAACTTGCCTCTCTAACTCCTGCACTGTCTGATGCTGAATTCCCCTACAGAATACGAAGCAACCCTTTACACCCCAGCACTTTGCAAGTAATGTACTGTTACTTAGTATTATATAGCAGGCGATGTATTTGATTGTATGTCAGTACAGTATTTTTTGGTTTGTTTTGCTTGAGGCAAAACAAACCAAAAAACACTGTAATGCATTATAACTTATGCAGTGTCTAGCAATGTAAAGTAAGTAATGTGTAGGGAACCAACTGTTAGTAAGAGTTGTATTGTAAAACTAGTTCAAGTAATGTACTATCAGTATTGTATAGTAAACAAACTACTGGATTGTTATGTTAATTAGAAACGTACCGTAGAATAACCTATTTCTACATCCGGAGACTTTAGAAAGCAAAACAAGTCCCAGTAAAGTTGAATTATTTTGAGAGTACGTTTTCCTGCATTTAAATTACTTAAAAGAGCAGTTTTCTGATCGAAAGACAACGCGGAGAAAAAAGAAATCACTACGACCGTAATGAAAGTAAAAGCATGAGATGAGTGAGTTTTGTACATGACTGGCTTAGCAGGTTTCCTTCCTCTGATTGGTTAAAGAACACTGAATGAATCTCCTAAACCAACCAATCAGAGAGCCCAAAGTAAGGCCAAAGTAATCAAGTGAGCTAATTATTTTTGAAACTTTAAGGCCAGTCGAATCAGAAAACTGCTTTAACTGAAGTTCGGGTTTAAAGGAAATTTTACAGTTAAGTTTACTATTAGCTTTGCTTTTTAGCAAGGAAAAATTAATACCATATTACTTTATGTTTTTTCAGGTTGTCTCAAAGTTTATCTTTAATAAAGAAGTCACTTGTTAAAAGTTAAGCTCTCGATTGAGTTTCGAGTTTTGTTATTGAATATTAAAAGGTAAGATAACCTGATATTTACCTTAGCATGTCCTCAAGTTCTATAACATCACAAGCAAGTCTGACAAGGTTTAGGTACATTGGTTAGCAAGAACATAAGTTAACAGTGAAAAAAATAAATGGTTAATGGTAGATGTAATAAAAGGAAAATAAGGCGGCAGTAAGATTTTAGTGGATTATGCATGCTTTACAGTTTTACACGATTTAAATGTTTCCTTTTGTCATATATATTTAAAAATATTTCTTTAGTAAGTAGGTCAACCAAATATTCACCGTGTTTTTAATCTAAAACAAAAATTACCTAAAAAAATTTATTCCTGGAATTTTAAGCAAATATGACGTTCCATGGTTTATTGAAAACTTAAGGGTTTATAACCATAATTTCTATCATGCAGCTACAGCTGCATGATAGAAATTGGTTTATGATGTAATTAATTGAGTTTTGGTTCTTTTTTAACTGATGAAAGAGATTTATATTTTATTCCAGTAGGGTAAGTAAAGTAAAATCCTTTATTTAAAACACGATTATCGTTTAAGTACTTCATGCTCAAGGGGTCGTGTATCTCGTGTTCACATACGTAGTTATCAACATCTTTAATTTTAACAAGTGCACTATTTACAGCACAATTCTCGAATATCAACTACGGGTTGTTATTTGAAGCATCTTGTAATGTTTACTTATGTAATTGAGCTACCAGGATAAGTAGGAAATTTGTCACCAGGTTCCAGTAGCCTGATTAGTATTTACACACAAAACAGTAACGTTTGCCAACCAAACAGTAAAAAAGATGATGTTAAAACAACTTTGTAATCTAGACACACGCCCTTCTAAGGATCGGAAGCTCAGCTTTAACAAAAAAAGCCAACCCATCGACCACCGGGAGACTCCTTTCTATTAGTTCGTCGAGCAAGAAGCAAAATAGAAACAAGAGCAAAACTGGCCGCACGGAAACTGGGGCGACCCGCGCGTCCCACCCCCAGTGTTTACGCGGTCATTTTTTGCTGTCTCCTGTTGCACGACAATTGGGGAAAACGAGGAGGAACCGCTTGTAGTCTAAATGAGGGTCATAAGCTTAGTTCTACTTTTCTACTGAAGAAAAAGTACTACAATGGATAGCGAAAACTAGAGACAGATCATACAGATCTTACAATTGTTGTCAAATCTGTGGTCTGTTTCAATTTTTCCCTATCCGCGTTCCTCTGTGCTTTGTTAACGACTCATTTCTACCTAATTATAGTTTAATTATTTCTTTGAGCTTTCCTTGGAGTTTTGAAATTTTGTTCATCACAAAAAGTAAAAGTAATGTGAGAGCCTAAAAGAAAGAAAACGTGACAGAGTCCCTTATGAGCAGGTTGTTACCAAGCGTGACTGAGGGACCTAACACGTAATAACAGTCACTTTGTCACACAACAAAAGACAAACCTTTATCATTTCTCAGTTAGTGTACAGCATTAAAGAAATTCTCATTTCTTTGTAAATGAATATATGAGCCCAGAAAGGCAATAACTCACTTGTTGACCTCCTCCTCTTGAAGATGAACCCTAAGTGTGCTGTTTTCTTCAGAAGTAAGCTTCATTTCAGCCAGTTGTTCATTAGCGCTCTTTAGTTCTGATTGTGCAAGCTCCAGCTGGTCACTAATCCCCTCAAACTCGTGTCTTAAGCCTGCCAACTAATCACCAAGGAAGTATTATCAAATATAAAAATATAACCTTTATTTATCCTCGGCAATGTTTATAGCACAACTGCTAGTGACGCGAGCAAACATCTGAAACAAATGATTCAAATTGAACATCACTTTGTTAAGAATCCCAACTGGCCGAAGGCAAACCAGTTGGCTATTTACAAGCGTGGCCGAGGATTTGAACTTGGGGCTATCGAGAAACAAATCCAGGTAGTGGTCAGAGCGGGACTCGAACCCGGGACCGCTGGAATGCGAGTCCGACACGCTGACCACTCGGCCACGCTGCCTCCTCATTCCTCATTCATCCCTACTGAATGAAACGCTCGCTTTTCTCTAGTGTAGATTCTGTCGCAAATTAACCGTAGAGCAGTGACCTTCGTTTTTAAAGACTTGGAACTGGCTCTCACGACTCTGAACTCATACGCTTTCAGTTGAGAATTCATCAATGACATGTGTTTCCTTATAGACGTGACAAATCCAATAGCTGTTTAGGCCAGGATGACACAAGCACGTGTTTACAGGCCCCAGCAACATTTTTGTATAGGTAATCGCATGATTTCCAGTGCAATTTGGAATATATAAGCAAGAGTAAATTTTCCAGAGGCTAACAGAATTGCACAAGCCTGTGAGGTGAACTGCGGATCACCCTCGACCATCCTCGAAATACCTCGGTCTGCCTCCCAGTCTTCGAGTGTCTTCCCACTAACTTCGGAAACCTTCGTTGTAATTTGCACTCGTATGGTGTCTGTAAAACCCGAACAGCGAATAGCGAATAGTGGCGAATAGCGACCAGCGAATAGTTCCGAATAGCGAATACCGAATAGTACGAATAGTCTCGAATAGTGCGAATAGTGACGAACAGTCTCGAATAGTCGCGAATAGTGGAAAATAGTGGCAAATAGGGTACCAAGTACCTCCCAGTCAACCTAGCAGCAACGTACGATGGGATTTTCCCGCTAAAAAGCACAGACGCTTATCAGGATAAAACGTGTTCTAAACGTAATTTCTTCTGTTTGAACCGCTGCAAAAGCGTAAATACGTCTTCATTAGGTTATCCTTGTGTTTTCTGTTTTCTTAATGTCGGCGATGGACAGCCCTAACCTGGGTCCGGAGAAGAAAAGGTAATAAATTCACTGAAATTCTGTTGCTTATTTGGATAATTAATTAACGCAGGATATTAGATCTAAAGCGGTGACTATTGACGACTATTTGTCACTWTTCGCCACTTTTCGCGACTGTTCGCCACTATTCGCACTATTCGAGACTATTCGCACTATTCGGGACTATTCGCTGTTCGCTATTCGCGACTATTCGCTATTCGGGTTTTCCAGACACCCGCACTGGTATTACAACTTCGCACTGGTATTACAGATTTTGCACAAGTGTTACACTTGAATTGCATTAATCTTAGCCAATCAGAATCGAGTAATTTTTTCATGTCTATTATGATAAGGTAACAGTACTAGCAAGAATATGGCAATAGCAAAAAGGGCTGCAACACATCAAGTTAAAGACTTCATACCTTAGCTTCTGCCTCCTCTGCTTGTTGTTGAGCTGTGTCTTTAGCCACTAAAACTGCCGTGTATTCTGCCTGCCTTCTGTGAAGAGTACTTTCCGTCTGACGCAACTGTTGTATTTTCTGGTGAGAAAAGATGGAATGTTTGCTATAACCAAAACTGTATTGATTTCCATAACAAACATAACATTAATTTTTATGATATTTTCTGTTTGATGACGATAAAGAATTCGACCAAAAACGCTGTTTTTATATCTATCTTGTGAAAATAATTGTTTTCATATTTTTTACAAACCTTTCTGAACTCTGTATTGTTTCTGGAGTGAAAACGACAGAGTGGCAGTGGACTTGCGACTGCATCCCGATTTAAATTATGCTCTCAGGCCCTTGTGACCACAAGCCGGAGTGGACGTCACAAGTAAGCTTAATGTAAATAAATTATCTGACAGCCAATGAAAATTAACTAAAAGTTGATTATGAAATGAATACTATATTCCTTAATATTCAACTCTTTACTTCTTTTAGGTTCACAACCTGTCACAATCCTCCGTAGGAATAAAGATGGCCGCTGAAAATTTGACCGCAATACCATGCGAACCTAACACGGGCCATTGGGCACAAGGATAGCCTTATTTTTGTCATATTTGTCCCTGAACTAACGACATTGTGCATGCTAGGTTTGAACTTTTTGGAACTTTCCGGAACTTTTCAGTACATTTTTATGACCGTTGATAAGGTTCCGTGCGTTTGCAATTGTGGGTAAATGTAACAGTCGCCATCCGTTTTGATAAGGAGGATTATCCCAACTGCTCTCCTACATTTTCTGTAGTTGTCGCCAGAATTTTCCATCTAAGTCGTTCCTAATAGCTCAACTACTTGTCCGTCACAACCTTTCTTTCTACGTTTGTTTCACAAATTCCAGGTTGAGAGAAGTTAGTGGTTAATCCCCATACCTTATCTAATTCAATTTCCAGATGTCTCTTTGTTGTCTCCAGCATAGATCCTTTCTCGGACAAATCCTTTATTTGTTCCCATGCCTTACTCAGCTCGGACTCGAGTTGAGCTGTCCTGTTCTCCAGGCTCCCTCGCATTTTGCTCTCAAATTCCAACGCTGTAGAAGCTTTCGTTCCAGTGTGACTTGCGTTTGTGAGTTCAGCACGAAGGCCAATTAGCTCCTAAATAGCAGGTATAGAATTTTGCCATTAGTTAAATGACTATGTGGCTTGTGTCATACTTTCCGCTGAAAGGTAATCACAGCTTTGGCAGCCAATCACTCACAAAAGTTAATCCATTGTGCAGCCATCGACTTCACTTTGAGAAGACTACGAAAGTCGTAGGTTTTGTAGTTTTACTGAAAAAGCATTACCTCGTCCCTTTCTCGCAAGAGAGCACTGAAATCTTTACTCTCCCTCGTGGCTTGCTCCAGCTGACTTGCTAGAGAGTGGCGCTCTGCAGAGGACTTCTCTCGTTCACGTTCAATCTCATTGCGCATGTCCACGATCAGTCTCTCATACTTGGCCTACAAAGACGCACGTAAATTCTATCACGTTGAATAACAATGTATTTGTACAAACTGGATTGACAAACCACAGAGGTAACTTATTACCTCATACCTGGATTACAATAAAATTAAGTATACTGCAGATTGATTGATTTCCTTTCTAGTTTTGTGGAATGGGGCCTAGTTGTTTTTCTGCTCATATGCAAGTGACGTTCTGACGTCTTACAGGGGCTGGGGTGCTTCTAGTAGGACTGTTATGTTCAAACACTATTTGTAGAATTTTGTGTTCATTTTCTATTGGGACCAACCGTTTCAAACGCAATCTCTATAAGCTGATTTCGTCGGAGTGTCTATGGAACACTTCTCTGGTTGTTGTCGGTTCAAATGTTAATAACCGTTTGGTCGCGTTCTATTGGGACCAACCGTTTAAGGTTAATTTAATGTAAGGACCGTTGAATATAAACTGCTTCCACCGAAAATGACTGAAAAGTGTTCAATGAAAAACTTCAACTAAATCAGCCCTTCAACCAAGTTCGATGTCGATTGCAAACGTTGATCAACCAAACCAGCCGAAAATGGGTTTTCCAAAAGAACAAGAAAACCCAACCAACTTAAAACAGATCTCGCAATAAAACTCGATCTTAGACAGTGCCAGGTTCTCAGTCTGTAGAAACCAGAAATTATCGTAAGTCTTCGCAATCCTTGTTATAATAGTGATCTGGTTACTATCTTACCTGACTATCCAGTGAAGCATTGTGCTGTCTAAGGAGCTGAGCAGACAACACTTTTACTTCCTCTTTTAACTGATCTACTTCTTGTTTAGCGGAGCTGCTGCTCTCTTGTGTGAACTCATAACGTGTGTTCAACTCTAAACAGAAGAAAAAAGCACAAAAATATTTATAGATAAATTATAGTATTATACCAACCTTAAAAAGAACAAGACTATTATACAAATATGGTAATCGTACGCGTATTTTTTTGGGGGGGAGGGGGGTGCGCTTTTAGTTTTGTTTTATTACTAAGAAAATATATAGTTTAGTTTTCCATATTTTGGGGGCGTTTTTTAATAAAACAGTTATTCCACTCGCGCTTATTGGCTATCTGTCGTCTCATATCAAACACGCGCTCGTGGAATAATTGTTAAATACAATGTATACCATGATGGCTAAGCCAATGAAAACTCTTGAATTATCCAGTGACGACGGTCAGTATAACAGTCAGTACAACCTTAGCCCTTATACAGACACAAACCAGAAACCATCAATAATCCATTTTTTAGAGTAATAAAGAAGACACTATGAATTTTAGATCTGACAATAGCGGTGTATTGGTAGTGCCTGCTCACCCAAACTTTTGCTTTGTTCTTTTTGCAGTTGTTCTTCAAGTTCAGCACACTTCTCATCTAACCTCTCAAGCTAGGAAAGAACGCAGAACAAATAAAATAGCATCTCAGATAACATTTAAAACCAAAGAACATAACACAATGACCCTGGACATTGCTAAAACCCGAACTGCTTGTTCAGCATTCCAGAGCAACAACACTGAAGGAGCTTTTTTCCAGTTGCACTAGCATTCAGCACCACTACTTTTTGTTAAACACCTTGATACTTTGTAATCACTACATCAAAGTATTCGACAAAGAGTATTGGCCTTTCCTGTGCACAAACAACAGCACTGATAGTGCTCTAACATTTTCTAACTAAAGAAGCTCATCAGTGAATCAGAAATATCTGAAGGTGCTGAATGTCTTTCTTATGAGAATACTACAACAAAGAGGAAGCTCTTTGCTTCGCACTTGTTATCAACACCATTACTTTTTGTTAACCACCTTGATACTACATGTATGTAATTATTGTATGTAGTGTTTGAAAAAGAGTACTCAGGCATTTCGATTGAAGCTCATCATATTTATCAGTGGTGGATCCAGACCTTGAGATAAGAGGGGGGGAGGGGCTTCTTTTTTTGCTTGCCAGCTTTTCTACCTTCTGCGATTTCTTTGTTTTTTACCCAAAATAAGGGGGGGACCGGGTCCCCCAGGCCCTTCTCCTAGATCTGCCACTGCTTATTATATGTTTAGTAATTTATTGGTAAATCAGAGATATCTGAAGGTGTTCAGTACTTTAATGTTACTATTTTCTTATGTGAAAACAACAACATGATTTGAGGGTGCTTTATTCTTTGCCCTCTGAGCACCATTACTTTTTGTTTAACACCTTAAGTTAATATTTTGTAATCATTGTATGAAGTTTTTGACAAAGAGTACTGGTCTTTTTTGGCCCAAAGACAGGAAAGCTTACCACCCTTATCATAATATCTCATTTATTTGAAAATCAGAAATATCTGAAGGTGTTCAATACCTTAATGTTAAGATTGCTCGATAAATCTGTTTTCTTATGTGTATACAACAACATTGAGGACGATTTTTTCCAGTTGCAACAGCATTGAGCACCATTACTCTTTGTTAAACACTTTGATACTTTGAAATCACTGCATCAAAGTATTTGACAAAGAGTACTGGCCTTTCTTGTGAACAAACAACAGCACTGACAGTGTTCTTTGGTACATTATCTAACTAAGAAAGCTCATTAGTAAAACAGACACATCTGAAAGTGTTGAATACCTTAATGCTAAGACCACTAAATAGATCTGTCTTTCTTATGACAATACTACAACATCGAAGAAGCTTTTTTCTTTGCACTTGTTATCAGCACCCTTACTTTTTGCTAAACACCTTGATACTTTGTAATCATTGTATAAAGGTGTTCCACAAAGAGTACTGGCCTTTTCTGTACAAAAAAGGAAAGCCCATCACCCTTACTATAGTATCTAATTTTTGGGTAAAATATCAGATATCTGAAGGTGTTCAAAAGTTTAAGGTCAAGACTGCTCAATAATTCTGTTTTCTTACGTAAATACAATAACACTGAGGGAGCGTTTTTCTTTGCACTTGTTATGAACACCATTACTTTTTGCTGAACACGTTGATACTCTGTAATCATTGTATCAAAGTATTCGACAAAGAGTACTGGCATTTTGTGTGCACAAACAACAGCACTGACAATGGTCTGACTAACATTGTCCAACTTAAGAAGCTCATTAGTACGAGTAAATCAGAAATATCCCAAGGTTAATGATGAGATCACTAAATAAATCTGTCTTTCTTACGAGAATACCACAAGATTGAAGGAGCTCTTTTCTTTGCACTTGATATCAACACCATTGCTTTTTGTTTAACACTTGCTACACAGCAATCATTGTATGTAGTGTTTGACAAAGACTATTGGCATTTCACGCACAAATTAAGGAAAGCTCATCACCCTTATTATAAACATCTAATAATTTATTGGTAAATCAGAGATATCTGAAGGTGTTCAATACCTTAATGTTAAAATTGCTCATTAATCTGTTTTTTTTTTCTTTTAATGAGAACACAACAACATTGAGGGAGCTCTTTTCTCTGAACTAGTACTGAGCACCATAACTTTTTGCTAAACACCTTGATTCTCTGTAATCATTGTATCAAAGTATTTGACAGAGAGTACTGGCCTTTCTTGTGCACAAACAACATAGGGGAGGTATGGATATTTTATGGAACTACACAATACCTTGACATTCAGATCACTAATCTGTCTTTCTTGTGTAGATACAACAGCATGGAGTGAGCTCTTTTCATTCTCCAAGGACTGTAGCTGAAGGCTGAGTTCATCTGTTTTCTTTGACTAAAAACAAGAATAAATTACAGAAATGGAATAAATTACACACACCAGAACTTTACTTCTTGTTCCAAAAAAATTGAGTGAAGTTGATAAAAGTACTATGAAATTGTTTTGTTGGCAGAATATATACAATGTATGCCACTAAGTAAAGAATAACAAATTTATGCAAATGTTCAAGGTTGAATTCTTAATAATTGTTTTACTCTGTGCAAATTTACTCAAGCTTTCTGGATGAGTGAACCTATACACCATAGAACATGAAGTCAAAACTGCAAAAGTCAAAGAAAAAACATCTTGCACCTACCTTGTCTTTTTCTTTATTGATGTAAGATGCAAGCTCCCTAGCCAAATTTTCTTTCTCTTTCTCTAAGACAGCTGTCTGTTCCATGGTTTCCTTCTCTCTGCTCATACTAGCTGCAAGCGATGCTTCAAGATCCTGCAATAACAACATCATGCGTCATACTTTACTCTGAGCGTGATGCATTTTGTGGGTATATCAAGATTCAAGACTTGAAAAAAAACACACACTTCTCAATACCTGCTAAAAAGAGTTCGGAATATATGTACAACTGAGTTATCTAATCTAGATATCAAACTGATCAGAAATAATTTCACTGGAAAATATTTATTTGCAGCAAGAAACTCATCTGAAATGGTCACATAAGAATTTAAACTAATTAGACGTGTATAATTCAAAAGACTGCAGCTGTATACAGAGAATTTCTGCAGTTACAACTCTGGGTATCTTTGAAGCAATCCTACATTCCTGGTTCACTAAAATCTTGCATAAGAAACCTAAACAAACAGATACCTGTGACTTCATATCTTAATCTAAATGTAGAAGAGGCCATCCTTTGTGATTTTCATCTTCACAGAAACAGTTAAAATGAACTCTAAAACATGCTAAATGGCTCAGTAGGGGGGATCAGTTAAATAAAGTGTTGAAATATCCATGCATGTATTGTTTTCTTGATGAAGTAATGACTTCAATTAACTATTGTGACATTGTTATTCACTTTTCCTCTGAAGTAGATAGCCAAACAAAGCTTAGAATAGAAGAAGAATAGAGTTAAGTTTTCATGTCTTGGTTTAGCTCTGTCATTATTACAAATGGGAGTATTAAAAAAATCATGTCATAATGCCAAATTATTTATATATCTGACTGTTAACAACTAGGTATTACAAACTAGTTTAAAACAATAATTTGGACGTAGTTAACTAACTCTCATTTAAATTTCTGATAGTGACACAAACTTCACAACAACAGAGATTTCCATAAACAGGCAGCACATTAGCATTTTTGAACAAAACCCTGATTTACTCAAAAGCCAATATTGGGACAGATTTTAAATAAAAAAACGTATAACCAACGCTTCAATGGCCAACAGAAACTCTATTTAGCATCAGTTCAAATAAGGGTGATGGAATGAAAAATAATCAAAAATGCTTTGGTTAGTTTAGGTTGAATTAATCTTCAAAACTTATGAAAATCTCTGAATGATGGTCTGTATAATTACCCCAGTCATGTTATTGTCATTCCATAGGCATAAACTAACCAAGCATATTTAGGATTTTAACATTTAGCAATAATAAATACAGCCATAGATCTTCTTCTGAAATGTTATGATTTTTCTTTGATGCAAGAAAAGGGAAAAGTGTTGAAGTTTAAGTCATTTAAAAGCTGCAATTGCACAACCATGAGATAATATCTAGTGTAGTGACTATTAATTGCAGAATTTCAATAAATGTGCAATCAAATGTAACCAGGTAGATTGTATGTGAAGCAAGAATTCCATGCTCTACACTAATTAAAAGTTACATGTACTGGTTGCCACATTAAGCTATCATGACTTTCAGCATGCAAAGAGTTATGATGGCTGAGTCTTAACCTTTCTCAAATCAACAATCTGTTCACGTAACAGTGCCTTCTCTTCCTCAGCACTCTTGCTGCGACCAGACTCTGCATTTAGCTTTTCTTGGTAAGTCAACTCATTGGTCTTGTGGTCTGACATCACCTGAAGGCAGTGAGGAACACAACTCAATGAAAGAATTCTAGACAAAAACAACTCAGCAGTACAATAACTAATATCACGTTCTTCTTACAGCATTAGGATATTAGCTTCATTACCACTTGAAAAATATAAGAATGCAAAGTCAATAATATCAAAGCTACATCTACAGGTAAATCTGTTATTGGCAGCCTAAAGCAGTTAATAATTTTACACTCAACTTATCTATTATGTGCAAGGCTCGGCTGGTCCAGCATTAGGAATTGAATGAACACAAAGGTGTCACAAGTCATGATTCTCCCACCATCAACACCAAGTAATGGCATTAGTGAACTGGGTTGCAGTGTACATAATACTCCTTTGTCAGAACTCATTAAGAATCAATAAAGCAATTATTATGATTGTGTTGTTTCAGAAATATCCATACCCTCCAATAGAGGTTTTTTGGTTTGAACTCTCCCTCCCCCTCCCCCAACCCCCAATCTCTCTGGAAATGCCGGTTTTAGTTCATACTTTCCTTTAAAAATTTTGGTTTGGTTTTTCTTCTGGAACCACAGAATGTTGATGCTCTTCACTTCAAGACAAAAGTATAGTTACATAGCTTTCTAAATCCCCTTGCCTTCTGAGAACAAGATAATAATGCACATTTTAGTTTAAGTACTTGGAACCTCTCGCATGTAAGGTGAATACAGTTTTTGTTTGAAAGGGATCTCGACAGTAAGTTACTCAACATAAGTAGATGAAATGAAAGTACTGTATGTTAAGAAATCAATTTTTTAGGTTTTCTTTGCAACTACTTTAATTTATATAATAAAGTTGCATTTCTCATGAACATACATGTATGATTCACTTCATTATCAGATACCATACATGTATTTGCATTATCAGACACAACTATTATAAGTTGTCTAGTTAAAATGCGTTAAACTTGCCCAAGTAATGAGTACCTTATCTAACTTTCGTTTTGCTTCAGACAGCTCCTCCTTTAAACTGGATGTTTCATCTGTAGTCCTTGTTAACTTTGCCTTCAGTGTATTAAGCTAATTAAAATACATTTTGAAAAAAAAGCATTAATAGATGTACAACTGAAATATTATAGCCCTTTGTGCATATATAGCAAGTACAACTTTTTGAAAATGAAAGTTTGTATGCAAAAAGATTCAATCCTCCCATTTTGTAAAAGAAACAGGAGAAGACATGAAATACACTATTTCACACTGTAATCAAACAAGCTGTATAGAGTTAACAGCTGCTAGTAGATACCACCAGCCTGTTACTATATTATTTATTTATTAGATAGACAAGGGACCTGGGTGTAAAACATTTAATACATACTAGTATGTAACATGGTAAATTACATGTAGTTCATTACTTCAGTCAAAAAGGACTATTCCTGAACACCAGTTTTAGAAACTACAGTAGCCCATAGAAAATATTTGTTCCGAGTGGTTGAGACCCATGTTTTCACTGTGGTGGAAACACAACAAAAACTATTTAAAAGACAAAGAAAACTCAAATATATTAGAACTATAAAAATTTATCTACAGAAATTTTGTCTATAAAAATCAGCAGTAGAAACCACTCATAAATGTTTGGGAGAACTCAAAATAAATAACATTTAGAGAGGAAGATTCATTTATATGAACCCCAGTTGGAGGTGAATTTACTCATTCAAGTACTTTCCTTAGAAATATTGTAAGTTTTGACCTTTAAATGTGCGTAAACTTACATTTGGATTGATTTTATTTTATATAATACCCAAGTTATTCTCCTATTTTGATTGGTTCTCGCCTATGATCTATTAGAGGACAGACGCAAGATTGGCATCATCATTACAAAGTTTTTCCCTCTGTGTTTTTAAAATGGTGGAATGTTCTGAGAATTTAGATAATATTTTACATGAGTGGGCAAAAGATGAGGTACAAAAAAGTCTTGTCGTGGCATTGAACAGGTACAAGAAGCAGGAAGAAGAAAGGTAACGCCCTTCCTTTTTTAGAAAATGACTCAGAAAAAATACTCGAACAGTCTCAGTCGGCTAAACCAAGCACAAAATTGGTTTTGGTAAGCCAAGCACCATTGCCCCTTATCTCAAATTTAACAAACCCAATTAACAAAATGTGTATGAAATTAATTTATTTAAAAATTCAACTTCTCTCTGTTTCAAAATAATTGTCGACACACTGATTGATGTCATGAATGACATATCAAAACATCAATTCTTAAAATCAGTTAAAATATTCACTTAACCTTGCTTTCTGATGCGAATGTTTCAGTCCATTTCAGGGCAAAGCTGCGAACAAAGTATAGCTCACTACAGCTCAAGGCCAACTGTATCACAGCTTAAAGTATCTCCGACACTATTTCAAACTGATTTGAGAATCACCAACCACAAAGGACACAAATTTCCACTGTCACTAACGCTCCTTTCATTCAAAACTCGAATCGAATGGCCTCCAGGTTGACGTCAACCGCAAGTTTTCCAAGCATATTTTTTTAACTCCTGCAATATTCAAGGCAACATCCAAGCTTTTCGGCTCACAGGGCTGCTCTGATGACAAAAACTGACTTGACTTTCCCAGCATTTTCTTTAAGATTTGTAGATTTCGCAGTTCAATTCTGCTTTTGCTGTAAGTTTTTATTTCATGAGGAGCGACGTTCAAGTCAAGTCTGACAGTGGCGTGATTTTCCTGGACCAATCACAATTCTTTGCTACGCATAGCAACCAATAAGATTGCTTCATTTTTTATAGACATTAGATTACGTCAAATGGCTTTTTTGTGTTTGCCAAAGTGGGCAAAGGCTAGCTTTCGAGTTACGTTGAAAGATTTTGACGAAATAAAAAAGCTCTATCTGTAGTACATGTAGTTTGTTTCATTATTATATAAAACAAATAGATTACATATTGCAGTGCATCTGTTCAGTAATCAATCACAGAAGATGTGAAAATGTGGTAAGAACATCAGTGACACACTCGGCTATTGCCTCATGTGCCACTTTTTTGTTCTTACCACATTTTGACGTCATCTGTGATCTATTACTGAACAGACGCATGGCAACATGGAATATATTTGTTAAATGTATACCAGTGGAAAGATCTAACACTACATGTATGTTTTAAGGCAAGAGAAAAACACTGCTAAATAAAACCTAAGAAAAGATTTCAATTGCTCATTCATCGGATGACAAGGAAAGGAAAAGTTAATTTTCAACCCTGTGTTGCAAAAACATGCAAACATGAGTGGGACAAGTGAGTGTTTTGAAACTCAATCTTGTCTTTTCACCATGTATGCAGCAGGCACTCCTCACTTAACAGTAGTGTAAGTTGCTACAGAACATACAAGCTCAATGGTCACATACCTCATCTTTGGATGCCTTGTCTAAAGATTCCATATCTTCTTCTTTCTCTGCAAGTGTTCTCTCTGCCTCTCCTAGTTGCAAGGTTAAATTCTCAATCTGCTTCATCTGACGTTCAATGGTGTCATCAGCTGTCTTGAGCCGTTCTTGTAGGCTGCTGTTTTCATCATCCAGCTGCTGTATTCTTATTTGTTGCCTATATCAACAATAAAAATATTACAACTAACGGTAAGATTCAACATGTTCATCCCGGGGGTGTTCAGCAAAGGGACAACTGGTTTTCAGAGATGGGGCAAAATATTTCTTATCTGAACAACAACCAAGGCAGGCAAAATCACCCTCACAACAGACAATTTGCTCAGGGCCTGAGGTCCTTAAAGAGACCCCTGTCATCAGCTGAAGGTCAGGTCAAAAAACCCAACAAGGTCAGCTACAAAAAATTGGCCTGACAAATATATATTTAGGAAATTTATTTTTAACTGATGATGTGGTGGGAGCAGTAGTAATTGACCTGTTGGAATTCCTAATAGACTCCCTGCATTGAAAAATTACCTAGAACCCTGTGATATACAGATCAAATAAGGGTGAGTAATAATTGTTTCCCCACTTTTGTACTTTCCAGGGTTTTCAAATTGAAATACAGTAACAGGAGGAAATCATAGGGTAGGATAAGCACTATGTGCTCGCGATCAAGGCAGCCTTGTGTGGTAGAGTGCTGGAGCTTGTTACCTTGTCCAGCATAAGAGGTTAGGTTGCTAGTCATGAACATTTTTGAAAAATCTGTACGCATTTGGGTGCATTCTGTTGCATTCTGGTGCTTTTCTAGCACACACAAGTGATTTTGTTGGAGGAAACTGTGTGAAAGACAGCATAGTCTGATTTTTTCCACCTGTTCATTTATTTCCTCCGAAAGATCAGATCATGAAATCTTACATTGATGAAACAAAACTGCGCACGATTTTAATAAACCTTTTGACAAAAAGTACCTAGTTTAAATGCTTGAAGAAGCCGGTGATTTGCCTCAGGTGCTAGCTTATTTTGAAAACCCTGACTTTCTCATGTCGCCAAAGATGGAGCCCAAAATTATAGCTTTTTTGCAAAGGGAAGTTTAATATTAATATTAATCTCCACTTTCTAATAATCCTGAAAAGATGAGTAATAAAAGAAGATTCTAGAAGGCTAGATAAAAACATTTTGGAACATATTCTGCACACCATAGCTATTGGAAGTATGCAGAACAGGGTTACTGTGTTGTGGTTTCATTCTTATTATGTTTTGAATTTTTTTCCATGTACAGCCACAGTTAAAGGGAATGAAAACTTTCAAACTTACTTCTGAGTTGATGACAACACACTGTCCTGCAGATACAGTAACACAAGAATGACAAAATTAACACAGCACTCCAATAACCATGCCACTGTCACCATAAATGTTTCTCTTGAGAGACATTAATTGTATGTGAAAACATCTTGAATGAAATGATGAGGCTTATCATTTTCATTACATTTAAACCAGTGAGTAGCTAAAATCAACCAAATGTTAATGTTCTTCTTACAGGACTCTTCAAAATCATTTAATTTTTTTTTGTACCTGCCATTATTGGGCAATCAGCACAAATCAAACCAGTTTCTGCTTGCATTCTGATATAAAGCTTGCTGAATCAATCAAGCTACTTGTTGTAATGTTACTATCATGTGTCAAAACAATACTTTTTGACAAATATGCAGTTCTACAGTCTCCGTACATCTGTTGAAAGTTAGTAAAGTTAGGAATCAACCTCTAAAGAAAGATGAACATACAGCAAGTTGACAACCACCCTCCTTACAAGTTAATTCCACTGGTTAGTCAGGATATGTACAATATTACCATTACCTTCTCACTGGAAAGCTTTGATTCACGTTCCCTTATGGTAGCAAGATCTTTTTGGGCCACCTGTAGGCGGGTTTCAACGGTCTTCTTTTCCTCCTCACTGGTTTTTAGCTTTACCTGAATGTACATTCAAAGAAACTGCTTTCAAACTGCAGTGCTCAAAAGATTACACTTTTTAAAATGTATACGGGTGTAAGATTAACTTGTCAATGATATTAAATATATACAATATTATACTAAATAAATTCACCCTGTCATCTGTTACAATAAGGAGAACCAGTGCCAGCAAAGAGGCAAACTCCTGAATCCATGAACTAGGATTAAGAAAATTAGGCTGAAAGTTGGCCAGTAAAGCACCATATATATAAAAGAACCAAATCAGCCTGATAAATAAAACATGTTCTTATACATGACTGTATAAAAAGAAAGGATGCCAGAATAAGAAAGCACTCATATGAAAAGTACTACTGGACCATACAAACTCTAAGAGCCATACAGTGCCTGACAGGAAGGCTAGGACTGTTGACACCATTTTCCTAATAGTTACCTGGGTGTCTTAAGTATCTTTTTTTTT